GATTTGCAAGTTATTGGCTCAAATAAGCCCAAAGCGGGATCAACGAATCTAATTGCTTCTACGAAGGTGATTGATTCTAAGTCTGGTTCTATGGCGGACGGCGGACAGAAGACTTGTTGTCATTTTGTAACCTGCTTATATTCTATTTTGATAATTTAAGCCACCTTCTTCCAAAAAAAATGATTGCACCACCTCCTCATTTCTCAATGTTAGTTGGACGAAGGTAGGCATGGCTCGGATCTGGTCGGACCGGACCGGCCCGCCACAGTGCGGAACCGCACCGGACCGGACCGGTGAACCGGTACCGGGCCCAGGCCCGAACCGGGGGGATTAAGGGGGCGGGTCCGGGGTTAGATAATTAAGGACCGGCCCGGTCAGTCCGGGCCCGGTCCGAGCTTTTTATTTTTTAAATTTTTTTTGAGTTTGGGCTGGGTTTAGGTGGGCTGGGCTGGGTGTTTTCGAGGGGTTTGGGGGATGGGGGGATGGGGGTTGGAATAAATAATGAATACAAAAAAACTGAACCGGGCCGGTACCGGTAGACTCTCGGGCCTTACCCAATAAAATCCAAGCCCGGACGGGCCCAGGCCCAAACCGGAACCGGACCGGGCCCGATCCACCCCTAGACGAAGGTAATATTAATTTTTCTCTTTTATTTTCTTTTACATTTTATTTAAATAATAAATACAAGGTGCGGTGGACAATTATTTTCATATTCTATTTCTAAATACACCTATAAACATATGAAACCGGATCAAAACGAACCAAATTCAACCAAATCATTTTCACTTTAGTGATCTGAATTTGAAACCAAATCGAAGCCAACCGCTCGCAAATCGAACAAACACCAAACTGAAATACAATGATATTAGATTGATACAATCTCCCAAACCTTATAAACCGAAATCGAAACATAATAGATAAAAATTAAGCAGTAAACGGAATTGACCACACCTAATTTAAGTCTTTTAATTGTTCTTTGCTTTGGTGCAATATTATGCCTTGTTTGTATGGTCTATTTTTGGTACTTAATTGAGATAAATAATAACCGTCCTGTAAACAAAGTATGAAGTATCTTTTCTACACTTATTTTTTATCATCAACTACCAACTCATATTAATTAATAAAATCGTTTGCCAGTTGGCTTACAATATAGTCAGGAACTGAATCAAAAATACTCCTATGATCTGAGAGAACAACATGTGCTCTAGCAAGTGCATGAGCTACACGATTCGCAGATCGTCTACAAAAAGAAACACTATAAGTATCCTTTGTTGACAAAATTTCCTTAATGTCGTCCAAAATCAGATCCAGATAAGACAAACCTCCCTCTTGTTGAATGCCCTGAACAATTGAAAGTGCATCTGTCTCGAAATCCACTCTCTGCCAGCCAGCTGCAATCGCCTCCTGAATAGCATCCCTCAACCCCATTGCTTCTGTTTCTGCCGGGGCCCATCCTGCTTTGGTTGAAACTCCTCCCGCCCTGATAAAATCCCACTGCTCGTTCCTCGCCACCCAACCCCAGGCCCTCTTATCACTATTTGGATCAATAGCAGCATCAACATTAATTTTAATAGAACCCCTTCCCGGTCTACGCCATATCTGCGCGTGCTCCCTATCAGGCTTATTCTTTGACGTAGCCCCTAATCCTTGAGCACCCTTCCAATTATTTATCATGCTCAACGCGCTACTAATTACTCCTGTCGAACTTTGCCACTCATTTTTCCAAACCAGAGCATTGCGCCTCTTCCATATGCCCCAAAACAAAGCTACAAACTTTCCTTTTTGGTCGTTGTTAGCATGTATGAGCTGATGTTTAATCCAATCATGCACCTGAGACACTCCATTAGCCCGATTAACCCCCGTCTGCTGCCATACCTCCTGCGCATAAGTGCAATCCCAGAAGATGTGTTCGAGAGTCTCGGACCCTCCATTGCAAAGATGACAATTCTCGCTAACCTGCACCCCTTTCTTCCTTAGGTTATCCCCTGTAGGAAGCGTTCCATCCCGCACCTGCCAAATAAAATATTTAAATTTAGGAGGTACCTCAAGTGCCCACAAGTTAGCCCAAGTATTTGCTTCTCCAGACGGAACTATATTGACTAGTTTCCTGTAGCAGTTTTTAACAGAAAAATTCCCATTTTTCTCCCCTGACCACTAGTAACCATCCTCTCTGTCCACTTTGCTAATCGGTATGCTTAAAATTAGATCTCTATCCACCGCCTCAAAAATAGAATGAATCCTCTCTCTATTCCACTCCTTCCCCGTATGGTCCCTCAAAGCTGCCACATTCATATCTCGGATTCCAGGGGGGCTAGCTGACTGGATCCGCCCTGTTCCTTGTCCCGGCAACCATGCGTCTGCCCAAACCTGCACATCTCTTCCATGCCCCACTCGTCTGCGGGAATTATTCCTCAAGATTTCTTGAGTCTCGAAAAAGCTCCTCCAAACAAAAGAAGGATTATTCCCCAGTTTAGCATTTAAAAAATCTGTGTTTGGGAAATACCTTGCTTTCAGGACTGCTCATTAAGCTTCGCGGCTCTGTTATCAACCGCCATCCCAGCTTGGCGAGCATTGCCAAATTAAATTCCCTGATCCTGCGGAATCCCAATCCCCCTTCCCTCTTTGGCCGGCACAAGAGTTCCCACCTGCGCCATCGAATCCCCTTTTGGTCAAACTTGTTGCCCTTCCACCAGAAGCCATTTAACAGCTTTTCAATCTCGTCGCATAAATCTTTAGATAGTAGAAACACATTCATCGCATAATTAGGAAGCGCCTGTAAAACATTCCGGATAAGAACCGCCCTGCCTGCTCTGGAAAGAAATTTATTATTCCAATTCTTTATTCTACTCACAATGCGGTCCCTTAAGTAGCTTAAGTATCTTTTCTACACTTTAAAAACACAAAATACTCTATGGCTCTGTTTGCAACTGCTTTTAAAAAAGCACTTCCCAGCTTTTGGCTTTAAAAAAGCACTTATTTTCCCAAACACTACAACTTTTATTTTTCTCGGCTTCCGCGTCAAAAGTGCTTTTACTTTTTTTATTACACAAAAAGCACTTATTTTACCAAACACTACCCACTTTTACTTTTCAAAATCACTTTTTTCTCAAACACTATCAACTTTTATTTAATCACTTTTCCCCATTTCATTAAAAAAAGCACTTTTTTAAAAGCAGAAGCTATTGCAAACAGACCCTATATCTCTACTTGTGTTTGTCTGTTTTTATTGGTGTTCACTTCTGTTTTTATCAAATATAGTGTTGGTGTAATCGATCCAATATCGGATCAACCTAATACGTCAACACCCCACGAGGAAGAGTGGATCAAGGGTAACGGCCCAAAAGGGCCACCCGGCGCTCGTCAGTATGGTATGACGCTCGTCACCGATACCTTGGCCCATTTTAGACAGACAATCAACTGGGGGCCTCAGTGGGGATGCTCGGCCCAGAGTTCGAGCAGCATCCTGGCCTTGCGTTACTTGGATCTGGGACCATAAATCCTTCGGGTATGAACGTCTAAGACATTTGGCGTGAAAGCAATATAATGGCAGAAAACACATAAAATGCACCAAATATGCAAAATTTGGTGGTTAGGAAGCTAGTCACTCATGATTCTCCACATCAACACCACCACCTACCCCGTGGTAGTGTAAATAATACTTCTTTCGTCTCATTTTGATTGTCCTACTTTTCATTTTTTATTGTCCCAAAATGAATGTCTTGTTACTTTTTTGGGAAATGTGTGGTTCTTATCATTTCACTTTATTCTACTCAAGTCCCAACCACAATTTTTTACTTTTCAACCATTTTATTAATAATCATGCCAAATTGAAAGTGGACAACCAATATAGCACTGAGATAGTATCATTTATTTCATAGTTAGAGATTAACAACTTTTATTCACTAAGCATTAGCTCTAATTCTCTGTACTCTAGCTCAGATTAGATGCTCGGCTTCCGCTTCAGTAGGATGTGCTATAATTGTTCGATATTGCCTAATAAGAACTCGACTCACTTACTGTCTCCCCTTATATTTGCTAAATACTTGTGCCATTTCATTCCCTTTAATCTACTAAACATCCATCGAAACTCAGGGGAAACTGGGAAAGTGTTGAACCCTTGCAAGTTGCAATCAGGAATTAACCTCAACATATAGTACGAGACAAAAGTTGTGGGACATGTCAAAATGGGAAACTCTTAGAAGGATGGAGGGATCAGTCATGGACCCAGGCCGGGCCGGTTCCGGTTCCGGGCCGGGCCCGGCTTTTTTTTTGGGAAGGAAGGCCCGGGACCGACCCGGGTAGCCACCGGGTCCGGTCCGGGTCTGGGCCGGGCCTCCGATTCGGTAATTTTTTTTTTTTTTTTTTTTTTTTTTGCTTTCCTAACCCCCCCACCCCCCAAACCCCTCCTAACCATCAAGCCCAACCCAGCTAACCCCAAAAAATGAGAAAATGAAAAAAAAAAAAAAAAAAAAAAAAAAAACATTCGGCCCGGGCCCGACCCGGCCTTTTCGCCAAATACAAGGCCCGAGCCCGGACCCGCCCCCCACCGGGCCTAGGCCCGACCCGGACTCGACCCGAGAACCGCCACCGGGCGGCCCGAACCGGGTCCATGCCTAGGAGGGATAATTACTTTAACTCAGAATGACAATATCACAATAAATACAACACGCAAGCCTTAGTCATAAACTCATAATAGAATTTCGGATAAGTAAATCATGAGACAGAGGGGGTGACTAAATTATACTCTGTACTATTAGCTATCGCGTACCTACCACACACTATCCCTAGTTTGGGAAATACATGATACCACAAAATGATCTCATTACAACCCATAGGTCTAACACAAACCTTAAGCAAAAAATGTAACCATTGAAAAACGAAGAAAGTAGTTTCCAATATTATTTAGTCATTAGTCTTTTTCAGAAATGCTCAAATGCAAGGGGATAACAGTTAACAAACAAAAAAACTAACTGTATTTCAAAATCACATAACAACCACAATTGCATGGAAGAAAATGACTTCTGCTTTAAAAAATGAGCAAATATTACGCCACAAATGGCATTGTTCACACTCTTACAGTTATTTAACCCAGAAAACTATTAGAGTATTATGTACAAATAAGAATGGGGTAATAAATAAATAATGCAATGATACAAGTGTAAGAAATACTTCGTATCTAAACAGACCGAAATGCTGACATAACCATATCACTACCTTCCAGACATAAGGTTTATCATTCCTTGGTTACCATAAAAGGTGCCGACATCCCATTCATCCGTGGTGGACGAGAGTGTCATTAGAGCAACAACAACCGATCTCATACTAGGCCTCATTTGAGGATCTTCTTGAGTGCAAGCTTTGGCAAGCTGTGCCAACTGCCAATGCCAAGAGAGGACAAGATAAATGATATTCTTTGTAGTTAGCAAAGAAGTATAGTTATTAAGGATTTGTTTGGATGGGGGATTTTGGAGTGCATTAGTCTTCAAGATATACACTAGACCCTCCAAAGTCTTCCAATCCAAAATGACCCCAACTGAAAATGAAGTTAAAGATTAATGTACCTTGCGGGCAGATTCCATAGGGTAGGTCTCCCCAAGTCTAGGGTCAACCAGTTTGCTGAGGGCTTCATCTGGCTCTGGTCGACTAAGAACTTCATCAAACTGGGATTTGTGGGAAGAAAACAATCACATCATTTTTGGTACGCAAACAAACAAAGAACAATAGGTTCATGGGCTACACCAACAATTGCACCATAGATTGCAGGTGCAAAAAATGTTATAAAGGGAAAATTAGTCAATATAAATTCCTCAAATTGAAAGGTTGGGTCCAGAGGTAGATCTAAGAATTTATGTTGGGATGAGCTGAAAAGTGATTGCAGGAAAAATTGGGGCGGTCCAAATGGAAAAAACATTTAACACTAAAATAAATTTTAAAAACTAGGTTTCCCTAAGCTTCACCCACCATAGCCTTTGCCCTTGGGGTATATCCACCCCCTAGGCGCCTGAAAGGATGAGTAGCTTGACCTGTTCTTTTTGTATTTTTATATATGTCCTATGCAGGATGGCTAAACACTTAAACAGTATGGACATAGAACTCACCAAAGAAACTAAACCCTTTGAGTCGCCTACAGAACCTTGGGCCTTAACTATAGCATCCTTGGCAGAAATTAACTCAAAAAGAACAACTCCAAATGCATAGACATCAACTTTAGGGGTGACATTTCCATACTGAGCTCTGTATAGGTAATGGCAATTAGAAATAGGTAACTTATAAGCATCTTTCTAAAAAATAAACGAAAAAATAAAGAAAAAATCACGCCCTGAAAGAGAGATAGCAGTGTAGAACTAACTCAGGGGGCATGTATCCAAATGTACCGACTAGACGTGTTGACAAAGATGAACCTCCAACTTCAGTCAGTTTTGTTAAACCAAAATCAGCAACCTGAATCATGGAAAAACTATCCAGCATGACGCCACATACGAGATACCATATACCCATCTATTTTCCATATTTCCAAAACTGAAATTAGGGGCTTTTATGATACCTTTGCATGAAAGTTTGTGTCTATTAAGATATTTGCTGATTTAACATCACGATGGATGTATACGGGAACTGTATGCTCATGTATATATTCAAGACCCCTGGCTGAATCCAGCGCAATTTGCACCCTAGTTGACCACGGTAGTGGGTCCCTACCTGCATTTATATGCATCAAGTGATTAAAAGGTACTCTCCACCCCCACCGCTGCAATAATAATAAATAAAAGAAAATTGCTCAAAAAAATCTTTACCTGTACGGCGCAGATGTTCACTTAAGTTGCCGTTGTCAATATACTCATATACAAGGAAGAGTGAACCTTCCACACAGTACCCTATTAAGCGCACCTACATTTAATAGAGTCTAAATTTCAAAAAATAACTCTGTAATCCAACCTTTGTTGGTTGTTTTTTACACCTTACATGCAACATATACTTTTAGCATATTTTTGTCAAAAAAATGACACCCTTGACAGTACCAGATTCAGGTGATGGACATGTGTCAAAACCTTCAGTTCAGCAAGAAATTCTTTTGATGCTCGCATATCCATTTTCTTAATAGCTGTTTTCTGCAAGACAATGTCAAGGGAAATAAATAAATAAGATAACGGACAAGATAAACATTCAAAAGAAGAAAAAAACTTTTGAAAAAGATAAAGTACAAATAGTTAGGTAGGTAACTAGGTAAGCTGCAAAGACACTAATGAACGAAGTCTCAAATTTTCACTTGTTAGAGAATAGTGAAGTAACTAGTAGATGTATTTCAAGACTTAACCCCTCCTAATCAGTTCCACAAAGGTATTTGTTGAGAAACTAGGAGAACTCATTTTTCAGGGGATATTTGGTATTCACACCAACATTTACCCTAATATTTGAATCTGTGCTCCATGTTCTACTTTTTAAGGAAAAAGGGTCAAATAGACCCTTCTACTATTTCCAATCCATCACTTAAGCCTCTATACTAAAAAGTATCATATAATTACGCTTACTTTAAAAAATTGATCAATCCAGCCATTTAATCTGCTTTTAACCAATAATAGCATGTTTTTTTATATTAATAAACTCTAAAAATTGTTAAAGTTCGAATAGATATAAATAAAAATTGTGAAATTTTTAAGAATGTCAAAGCCAATATTTTTTCATTTTTTGATTAATTGTATATTCTACGGAGTATATCTATGTAAAAGGTTTTTACGTTTTATATTTTAGGAAAAATTGAAAATAATAATCTCAACTATTGTCGATCCGCTGACAATAATCCCAACTATTGATTATTTTTGTATAATCCCAACTATATGGACCGTCCGCCAATAATGGTCCATGACCATATATTACCTGCTATAACAAGTGATTTTTAAATAGAAATTAAGCATAAAAATTAAAAGTTGGGATTATTTATAGGGATTACATGCTATATCTTTTCTCATCCACTTTAAAAACTACAAGAATTTATTTATAAGGACCATTATTGGCGGAAGGTTCCTATAGTTGGGATTATTCTGAAATAATCGATAGTTGGGATTATTATGAGCGGACCGCCAATAGTTGGGATTATTACTATCAATTTTTCCTATATTTTATACTTCGTATTTTCTACATTTTCTCTTGACGTTTTTTATTTGTCTGTTTATTTACTTTTTAGTTTAACATTTTTAAATTATCTATCTTTTTTGCATTTATAATTTTTTTAGTATTATTATTAAATTAATTTTCAAATTTATAAGAATTTGTATAAGATTTATCAATAGTATTAATCTATTTTTTTAAAAATAACCTATTATAGCAGGTCAAATGGCTTGATTGATTGTACTTTAAAGTACATGTACATATATGATACTTCCTTTGGTATAAGGACTTAAGTGATAGATTTGAAATAGTAGAAGAGTCTATTTGACCCTTTTCCCTTTTAAAAAAATCTCTAGAAAGCTCTAGGATGCAAAGTAAAAGAAAACAATGTATGGAGTGCAAAGTTAAATTTTGATGTAAAGATGAGGCTTAAATGCCAAGTTTCTCTTCTTCTTACCAATAAGGGAACAAGTAAAATTAACCCAATAAAAAACATCAGAATGATAACAACCACAAACCTCGCCTCTAAGCTCAGCATAGTAGACAGCACCAAAGCCACCTTCGCCAATCTTATTTGCAAGACTGAAGTCATTAGTTGCATTAGAAAGCTCTTCATATGAGAACTCAACAGATTTCTCAACAGTTATGCCTGAAAGGACTGGAGAAGCTCCATCAGTAGCACGAGCGGGATCTCCATCTTTAAACCCTAATCTCAGAAATATATTCATACTGATCAGTTTGCTGTAAAAATTACATCTAATTCACTCAAATTCTGGAAGCTCTTAAAATTTGAATTTATTCATTGAGGCCAATGAGACATGCACCCACTGATTTATAAATTTGTTAAAGATAATAAGGAACCTTTCATTGAGGTAACAGAAGAATAATACCTCCCACAGAAATGAAGGGATGTTTTGAAAAGGATGATTACATAATCCATTTCAAGAAAATGACTAAAAAATGACAAAATATACAGATAGAAAAATGAGTTTCAATACGCAGTGACCATAGGGGTATTTTAGTGGTTCAGTGGTTGTAGTGATAATGGTGGAACCGACCCCAAACTCTTTTGGGACTAAGGCTTGGATGTTTTATTGTTGTGATTATGGTGGACATAATGATACATATATGACTAAAATGAAGGCAGTAGACAAAAATGTGATTGATTATACGTGACTATAATAGTAACATTATTGACCGTGATGATGTTCAAATTTACATTGTAGTGATCATGATGATACACTCATAAGTCATAAAGACTCTAGTCACATTTTTGTCCATATGTTTTATTTCAGTAATATTTAAGGAAAAACTTCATCAAGGTGGTATTTTAAGAGACTATGGTGACCATGATGTAGAAATGTGGTCATACTTTAGTGACATGTTATAGAAAGAACCCCAATAACTAATACAGGCAACCACGAACACCCAACATGCAGTGGCGCACACAAAGGGGAGTGAATGGGGGCTGCCGCCCCCACCAAAAGAAATACAAGTACGTATAATTACTAAATTACTCCAACATTTTAATATATAAGGAGTATATATGTATATATAAAAATTACTAGTACATAATCTGTATTATTTTACACTACCACCCCTCCGGCCAGTAATTTTTGCGTCCACGACTGCCAACATGAACACAACATAGAAAAGAAGTATAATCGTAAAAGGTTGTGTAAACTCCCAAAATACCTAAAATTTTATCCATACTTGTACGCACATGATCATTGCATGAAAAGAAATATGCATACTCATTGTAAACCATAAAAGATGCACTAAATCACTAGTAGATGGAATTCTTTTTCTCTTTCTTTTTTGAAAGTCTGACTAAAGGGATAAACAACTCTCATTACCTGTTAAATGTGATTGGCTTTCAGACATTGACAGCAATGAAATTTTCTCTCCTTTCTTTCTCAAAAACACTACATAAGCGTAACCTGCCAATAAAAAAACTGCTGCCAATGCTGCTATGGATATTCCAGCTTTAGCTGCAGCCGGTAGTCCTGATTACATATAGGAACTGTGTAAGTTAAGCTATAGTAAAAGAAATAATTACATAAATATGATCAAAATAAAGATGATTTACAAAAATATGACTAGTTACTAGAGTAGTAATGAAATCATAGTAGTTCATGTTTAAGTCTTGAGCTTAAGTTACCACAACACTACGTTGTAGTAATGAATAGTCATATTTATGTAATTAAGTTTTATTTTAGTAATATTCTTGTAAAAAAAACATAGTAAAAAGTCTTCTGGAACTTTTTTGAATTAAGTCCATGAATTGACAATGAAGAAGCCAAATATGTAGCAGGACAATGAGAAGCCACCTTTGCTGCAGAACAAGCAAACCAAATAAAACATATGTCAAGAATAGCACCACACAGTGTGAAAAATCAAAAGCATGGCTGCATGAGCATAATTTGTAATTCAAAACAACATTATAAAAATTACCTTTTCGGCATAGAAGGAAAAACTCCATTTTTATCTGCAAGAAAAACAATGACCAAAGGTTAACATAACCTTATAGTGCTAGACAGGCAGGTCAGAGTGTTATCTTTTAGCACAAAAAAGCAATTGTGTGTATACAAATACAAATTCTTATAGCAGGCAACAATTTCCAGAAGCACCATAACAATCTTTCAATCAAGAATGAGAATAAAAGGAGGAAACTTTCCAGTTAACTAACTGCCTATTAGAGACCCAGTTCCTCTCCATGGCCAAAGGATACCACCCTGATTGGCGAATTCGATTAATGTGGGTCCCCAAGCTCAACTTTTACCCAACGGGCAGGGATCCTCCTTCTCCCACACAGAAAAGATGCAATCTTTAAAATCAATGCTTCATTTACATCGCAATTGACTCTCTCCAAACACATACTAACTAATAAACGAATCAGCAAATTACGCTTACCTCTTCCAGGAATATAAACTAGCCCACTCCCCGCACTGAAATCCACTCCCTGATTGTACCTTGCCACTAAATCTTGACTGACGTTAGCCGCATTTGCCACCGACGCCAAGCTCTCCCCAGGCCTCAGGGGATAGGTAATAAACAAGGAGTAATCCTCGGACACATCCCTATTCCCACAAGAGCAATTCACCGTCACGTTCAACGTCGCTGTATCCGGAATTTGAGTATCCGAGTAATTGTTAAACCTCCTCAACCAGTCAACAGTGGTCAAATTGGAGTAGTACGTCTTCGCAACGATGGTATACGTGTCTCCGGATTTTACGGGGTACGAGAAAACACGACCGAGAAACTCGCCGTTTTCCAGACAATCGCATGGGAAGGGGACGTTGATCCTAGTCTCTGCAAGAACGTTGTCCTTGTTGGGGATATTTGCTCTTGGGCTGTAGGCCATGATATCCGATTCATCTGAGTCGAAAAGGTCGGAAATGGAGGTGAGAGTCGAACCCCGAGGAACGTAGTACGAGGCTAGAGCTAAGTCGCAGCCATCACTGCAACGGGACTCTGCTGAAAGGGAAAGCGATGATAAGCTAAGAAGAAAATATAAGATTGCCCCGAGGAGAGCTGAATTTGCTCCATGTTTGGATTGAAGAAAGATCGACATGCTGGGAAAAACATGAGACGAGTAAGGGGATTAGTGGATTACTTGGAGCCCGGATGTGGGTTGACAATGGAAGAAGAGGGATGAAGACATACGTCTTTGGGCAGAGAAATTTGACTGCGCCTTCATCTCCTGACTCCTGAGTCAACCTTCATCCAGACCCGAACCAAAAACAACCCAGAAGTAGGGTCGGGTATGGGTCCAAAACCGGACGGAGTTGTTTTGAAATACGGAGCGATTCTAGAGTGCATCTCTATTGCGACACAATACAAGCTGTACATCGGTATAGCCGGCTGACTATTGCACTTTTGATAGCAAGGCTATTGACTATCTTTGATTATTTTTTATATACGAGTATAGGGCTTTCATTTATGGGAATTTTGTCCTAAATAGGACTAAATTGTTGAAGAAATTCCAAAATAGGAGTAGGTGTATTTTTATTCCCTAAATAAGACTTTTGTTCCAAAATTACCCTCCATCTAATTTCTCCACTCACGCACTGCAGTCATCCGGGTAATCATCTTGCTCTCTCACCCTTTTCAGTCTTTCTTCTATTTTCTCCACTCACGCACAGTAGCAATCCCTAAATCATTTTCTTCGCTCACCCCTTCTCCATTATGCTCACCATCTACTCCGACCTTCTCCTCATCTATTCCCATCCGCTTATCTGGTCATCATCTCCGGCGTGAAGAGACGAGCTTCCTGGTGCAGAGAGTAGCAGCAAGGGCCAACAAGGAAGTTTCAGCAGGTAGTCAACTCGGATTTGGTGGCTGGGGTACGGTGAAGTATCTTGTTGTTCTCAAAACTGTTCTTTCTCCTCCGCCTTTTCTTCTCTGAATCTGCCTCCCCCCTCTTCATTGTCGGTGCTAGTTGCAAAAAAAATGAGATATTCTGGACATGCTTTGTTCACGAAGAAATGCCAAACCATACTCTGAAATGCCATCAAAATGGCATTTTTTCTCTTCAAAATTTCATATTTTCCTTTGAAATTGCCATTAATATAGCATTCTCCATTCATGTTGGCATTCTCATAAAGATGTTGGCATTAGTGTCGACGGCGGCCAGATCTGCAGCGGCAGAGGCCGGATCTGCAACGGCGGAGGTCGGATTTGCAGCAGAAGCGGCCGGATCTGCAGGAGCAGTTACCGATGAATGGCGTCCACCAGATCTGGCAACATCTATAGCGGCGATGGCCAGATCTGCAGCGGAGATGACTAGATCTGCAATGCCGACGGTTAGATCTGTAGCGGCGTCAAATTCTGCTGCGGCGGCGACACCGGCCACTAGAGGCGGCGGTGGCCGGAAACAGGCGGCGGTGGCCGGCGACGAGTGGCGGTCCGTTGTTTTGTCAGTGGTAGTAGGTTTTGCCAAACTTTAGGGTACTTTTGTCCAAGTGCAAATAATAGCTCCTATTTGGGGAAATTTTAAGTATTGCTCCTATTTTAACAATTATGGATTTATTTACTCCTATTTAAATAAATCTCCCTTCATTTATATACTACCTCCGTAACACAAAGATCTTCCCATTTTGACTTTTCACGGTCTTCTAAGTTGAACTTTGACTCTAAATATCTACATATTTATATTTATAAAATTCATAATAAATTAACATTCAAATAATATGTTTTACAATGAGGTATATAAAATAAATTTTTAATCATAACATAATGTGAGATTTGAATAATTAATGGTCAAAGTTTATAAAGTTTGACCCAAAAGAGTCAAATTGAGAAGATTCTAAGGTTACGGAGGTAGTATGTTCTTTTCGTTAATGGTTTTGGTGTTCAAAATCACCGCAAAGAATCACAAATGGTCAAGAAACATGAGTCAGATATCAAATATGGACAAAATAAAAACATAGACTAAATATAGAATTGACACAAAATTCACATGACCAAAAGTTAAAATTAATTTGATATAATCTAGAGAAGAGTTTGGAGCGTCTCTATTGCAACATTGTGCAAGGTGTATATGTGTCATCAAAGAAATAAACATATAAAAATCAAATTTGATATTTGTGTCCACTCGCATATCCTCCCTTATACTCACCCTGTTAGAGACTATTTTTATGTTTGTAAATTCCTTCATAGACAAAACAGCACAGATAAAAACATGCATGTTTTGTCTGTGAACGGGATTTGCAAACAAAATATAGCCTCTCACAGGAGGGAGTATAAGGGTGGGTATAAGGGGGTGGGCACACATATAATTTTTCTATATAATTAGTGATTATAATACATCTCTCCTTGATCTTATCAATATGGGACTTGTTCCAATAAAAGTAGTCTTCTCATCAAAATGTGAACACCTCCACTTTTGAGCTTTTGAGAAATTTTTGGTCATCCACTCTTGAATTCTTGATCCTTCATGGTACACTACTGCACATTTGCACGCAAGTCCATTTTTTCACAAAGAAAAAAACCTCAATTTATTTACAAAAATTGTACCACGTTCTTCATTTATTTTAATGCATTTTTTATACAATTAGAGTCATTTTATCTTAAATCAATAAATATGATGCTCCGAATTTATTTCTTGATATGAGACCATTTGGTAACATTGTTTTTCGGCTTATCAGCCAACTTTTTCACCAAACACGTAATATCAAATGTTGCATATAATTTTTATTTTTATAATGTTGCATATTAGCAACATGTAATTTCTTGTTGCTTTCGTGAAAAACAATATATGACCATTTTAGCTATTTTTTGTTTATAATACTTTTCATGGTTAAAAACAGTATAATTACTTTTTCATGGTACAAGATTCAGGATGAATTGTTCAAAGTGATGGGTGGCCAAACTGCAATGATCAATAGACTTTATTCTTGTTGTGATAATGGAAGGATCAAAGCTGGTAAGGTGTATGACATCTTAAGAACAAAAGCTAGCAAACCTTGGATGAATATGATTTGGAAAAAATAAATCCCTCCTGAATTCTCGTTTATTGTATGGCTTGGGTTAAGAAATAGGTTGCCGACTTGTGACAACAATCACAACATGATGTACATGGATATAGAGAGAAGGTGTTGTTTCTGCAAATTACAGATGGATTCAGTGGAACATCTCTTCTTTAAGTGTCCCTTCACTAAAGATGTGTGGCAGAGGGTTGGAATTTGGCTGACATTTAAAAGCAATACTACCACTTTACTGAGCGATGTTAAAATGTGCATCAAGCTTTATGGAGGTGCAAGGATCATGACTCATGAGTAAGGCAGTCCGATTATCTCTTTGTTGTACTGTTTCACTGTGTGGAAGGCTAGAAATGAGACTAGGGCCTAGACTATTTTTGCTCGCAAAGCGGTTAGTGTGGAGAGTGTATACTTGCAGATCAAAATTTTGGTGTACAAGGTGCTTTTCAAGCTATACCCTGTTTCTCTCATTGATTTTTGAAGATGTTGTACACTTGTACTATGCTATATCTTGGTTACTTGGTTGGTTTCCAGTTTGAATGATTTCTTTAAGTGTGATATATACCTAGTGATCTTTGTACTTCTGATTTAACGTGTTTATGATGAAAGCAGCAGGGGTATGCTCCTCAGTCCTCACTATGATGTAATAAACTGTTATCTCAGTTCATATATTTTTACCATTCTTCCAAAAAAAGTAAATGAATGTATTATACTACGTAGTATGTAACGAAACGGATGAAAAAAAAGTTTATGGATTTATATTGCAATAAAAGGGGACTGGCTACTTGATACTTATTCATGATGCAGATAATTGTCTTGGAAAAACAATGAGACCTTTTATTTTAACTTGGTACAACTAGAACAAATGAAGTATAAACAAAAGATAGGAACCACCAACACCAGGCCAATTTCTTTATAGAGAAGAGCATAGAGCTTTCCTATTTTTGCCTCTTGTAAATCTTGGACAAGAATGACCTTAACACTGCTTGAACTGCTTCACTTGGATGAGCATCAATTGACCTAATTAGCTTTTCATAGCTATTGCTCTCATACTCAGTGAACACATCCTGGAAACAGCCAGAGAACAAAAATAATTATTAATTCTGAGAGCTCAACACATATATAGATGGCGAAGCATTGTGTGTGCTCAGAACTGAACTCTAACCTGAAGCTTGAGATCATTGTAAAGTGCCTTTATCTTAGCTATACAAGCAGGATCCCCATTTCCATAATTCTCCTGTATTAAAAAAAAAAGATTCACACTGAGCTAATTAATTAAAAAAACAGTGGAGCATTAATTAATAATTCACTCCCCAAAGAATGGAATTAAGAAAAAAAGTATCCAGTTCCAAGCTTACAAACAGTATCTTCTTTTGCTCCTCATTACAAAGCTCCAAAGCTTTCACAACCATCCATGAGCACTTAAAATCTTCAATGTCTGTCCCAATCTGAAAATATGCAAATACAGTTGACCATAAAGTTCAGTATATTAAAAAACAAAAATAGATCTCTAAGACTAAGTAACAGTATAGTGAATGCGGTCTCACACACCTTTCCAAGAATCTCTGGCTCAGCAAAACAGTCCAGATAATCATCCTACAATGGACAGCGAAAATCATATGTTTATTACTACTGATGTCCCAAAAGAGTTCATATTTAACTAACATCCAACTATCACCCATTAAACCAATAATAATACATTAATACGTACTTTGAAACTAACTTTTAATAATACAGAATGTGCTACTGGATTACTTCACAATGTCATTATTAAACACAAAATGTGCGACTGGCTGGATGTCTGAAATGCAGTAATTACTCAAGATGGATAATTTTTCTGACACTACAACAAATTTACTGAGGGTCTTTTGACAGAGGGGAAGGGTTTGGAAGGCTTCGCCTATATCTTGATATATATTTATGATTCTTTAACATTCAAGGAGTAATAGAATGAGGATCATATGACATTGCAACAACATGAGGATCATAAAACATTCAGCAATAGTACTTACCTGTACTTGAAAATAGATACCCATTTCTACAAGTATGTTTTTCACATCAACATGCTTCTCAAGATCCTCACCTGCCATAACAAGTGCACATGCCACCTGAATTGCAATAAAATAACTTCTGTTAGGAGAATAAAATCGTGCTTCTTTAAAACGATATACGTAGTATAAATTATAAATTATAATGATAAAGGTGAAATAGGGGAAACACAAACATTTTTTTTTATAAAGCCGATGTACAGCTACAGACCACAAACAACTTTTTTAATAAAAAACAGTCCATCTATCATAAAAGTGGATGACAGATTGATAGGCAACCCTAACTGTGGAGACGATAGAGACGGGAGACAAAAAAGTTATTGTCCACAAAGAAAATAATAGGCCACATATGTAATTGGAAAAGAATATATACTCACTGGGAGGTAAAATGAATAGTAAGCAGTCTTGTATTCTACAATCCGGCGGTGGCTGCATAAGCATTTATATGGACTGAGTGAAGGCATAGATAGTAAAGAAACACACAGATAGAAGTTTTTACTTACAGAGGCAATGAATATTTTGACAAATCTTTCTCCCCTACAAGGGTGGTAATCAGATCAATCATCTGCCCACACGCAGTTTGAAATTCAACCTGTTAAGAAGGATGTATAAGGAAAGAAGATTGGCACAACTGTTATTAGCATTTAGCATCATACAAAAAACAACAGCCTGTAGGAACTATCAAACCAATAGTAGGCATGCATCACCTCATTAAATAGATCCAACAGATCGACATAATAAGGCTTCCCTTTGAAGTGCTTCTTTAGAATTCTTGGAATGTGGTTGCGAAGAAGTATACCATCATTTGCTGCAATCAAGCCAACCTGTGAATATACCCATCCAATACATAATTTAAACAGAATGTGTCACTAAATCCAATTTGTACAACATAAATCATCTTTTGGGGGGATCACACCTTAGGCAACCTGAACCAACATGGTTGACCTCTCCGCGTATGAGAGCCATCCATAATATCATCAAGAACCAGGAAGTAAGCTTGAAGCTGCAATAATTTCCAAATATCATCCATAAACCATAGTTTTTTTAAATAGGAATATAGGATCAAGCACTCAGTAACAGAGAGGAGCTATAGAGTGTCATACCCATTCAATACACCAACCCAGGGCAGACGTTAGAAAAATTTCATCACTGGTTAGTTCTTTCCCCTCTTTCAGTAACTTATAGCTATCAATCACAGAGAGCCCACGGTTCAGCTTCCCTGTAACCAAGAAATATTGATAACCGTTCTAACAATAAGGAAATGTACAGGAATATAATATAATAAATAGGGCAATATTAGTTTTTATTCCCACCTCCAGGTACATTGTAGTCCAACATCTGAAATGAAATTACCAGAAACAAATTAGACCAACAATGTAGATTCGTCAAAATTAGATCACAAATACGTAGTATGAATTAGGTGACATGCATAATGATATACTCTGCATACTGTTATAGTTCAAGCTTGTGCTTAAATGGAAACTTTTGAGGTGATGTTTGGGTAGAGTAAAAGTACAGATCTTTAATTGAACATTAATTAACCCATCATTTTTTCCTTTCTTTTGACATTTTAAAAATCATATGAAGTTAGAGGAGCTGCTACCAAGTATCTTTATGACCAAAAAGAAACCCTTCCATAAGCTGATTAATATTTTCCAAACTCAAGAAAAAAGGTTCATAATGTCAGAAATGTTACTCAAGTAAAGCAGTTGAAGGAAACAAAACAATTCAGTAAGTACGTAAGCAGTTCAATTGATGAATAAAAGAGTTGCTTACTGCAAAGAAAATTCGGGCGCACTTTTCTTCACCAAAAATTACAGCATTCATTCATACAACCCACATCTTCAATCAATTAAACATGAATGTAGGTATCTTCCACCTTCTTTCTTGGAGGTTGTCAAGAGACACCTTAACATGGAGGCACCTTCATGGAAGGAGCTCTCCAACAAATAGGTATGGAAGAAGATATGGAGATAATTAGGAAGCTTGGATGCAACTTCCTCTTGTCTCCAAAGTAGCCTATAAATAGAGTGCTCCATGTTGTTTATGATCATCAGTTTAGAAAGTGAGAAAAGTGTCTGAAGAGTGAAAATACACTTAGAGTAGAAGTGTATTGGTGAGGATTGGTTTTTTGTAATAGTTGAGTGTGAGAGTTTGCTCCTCCTATTGTAATTCTGTTCTTGATATTGAATAGAAGAATTTTCCAATCCCAACAAGTGGTATCAGAGCGAGGTTGAGTTTTCATACACTGTTTTCTCATTTTCAGATAAATTTCTACAGGTTAGAAAATCGTGATTTTTCAAGTTGCTCGGAATCACGATCTGATCATACCGTTAGATTCGTCTGTCGAGACGAGAAATCTGGTATTTTTGGGGAATTTTTTGGCCACCAGAAGAGGCCGTACGCGCCGCCCAAACGCGCCGGAAAACTGCCTTCGTGTCAGAAACCAGCAGACGAGGGGGAGGCAGAAATGGAGGAAGAACTCGAGGTAGAGGCCAAGGTCAAAACAGAGGAAATTCTCAAGTTCGCGGCAGATCACAAGAGAGAGGTATGTCCTTTGAAAACAGTACTTGGTTTGAAGGATATTGCAATTACTGTAGTAATTATGGGCACAGAAAAAGAGATTGTAGAAAGTTTCTACGAGAACAGCCACAGACGAGTCAAAATACTAGCCAAGAAGATGGTGTGACTATGGTTAGTTTGTCATCAGATGCGTGTCTTGTTACACATGGTGAACAAGAATGTTTACACGTAGGTACTCATGATGTTGAGTGGGTGATTGATACAGCCGCATCATTTCACGCCACTCCACACCAGAACTTATTCACATCTTATAAGTCAGGAGACTTTGGAGCTGTGAAGATGGGAAACACGAGTTTCTCGAAGATTGTTGGCATTGGTGATGTGCACATAACAACCAATGTCGGATGCGCACTTGTGTTAAAAGATGTTCGACACGTTCCGGATCTTAGATTGAATCTTATCTCCGGTACAGCTCTGGATCAACAAGGATATCTTAACAGATTCAAAGAAGGTACGTGGAAGTTATCTAAAGGTTCCTTGGTTGTTGCAAGAGGCCATATTTGTGGTACTCTGTATAAAACTCATGCAAAGTTGTGTCATCCGAGTCTCAATGCTGTTGAAGAAGAGATATCACCAAACTTGTGGCACCGGAGGTTAGGCCACTTAAGCGTGAAGGGATTGACAACTCTTGCTAGGAAGGAAAGGATTTCCATGGGCAAAGGTGTTGTCTTAGATCCATGCGAGCACTGTCTATTCGGGAAACAACACAAGGTTTCCTTCAGTTCTACCAGGAAGAACCATTCAGAATTACTCAGTCTTGTACACTCTGATGTATGCGGACCCATTGAAGAGGAGTCACTTGGAGGAAGCAGGTATTTCGTGACATTCATTGATGATGCATCACGAAAGGTATGGGCTTATTGTTTGAAGAGTAAGGATCAAATGTTTGATCGCTTCAAATTATTTCATGCCATGATAGAAAGAGAAACAGGGAAGAAGCTGAAGTGTCTACATTCAGACAATGGAGGAGAGTACACTTCCCGAGAGTTCTCAGCATATTGTGCCGCATATGGAATCAGACATGAGAAGACGGTTCCACGAACTCCGCAACACAATGGTGTAGCCGAAAGAATGAATCGGACCATTATGGAGAAAGTTCGTTGCATGCTGAGTATGGCTAAACTACCTCAGCCATTCTGGGGTGAAGCTGTGCTGACAGCTTGTTATCTTATAATTAGGTCACCTTCTGTTCCTTTAAACTTTGAAGTGCCAGAGAAGAAATGGTCAGGAAGAGATGTTTCTTACTCTCATTTGAAAGTGTTCGGGTGCAAGGCGTTTGCACATGTGTCCAAGGAGTTGAGACAGAAGCTGGATCTCAAGTCAGACCCATGCATCTTCATCGGGTATGGTGATGAAGAATTTGGATACCGGTTGTGGGATCCCGAAGTGAAGAAAGTTGTACGAAGCAGAGATGTTGTATTTCATGAAAACGAGTTTAATGGGTGTGTTCCAATAATCCGCCAACAACATACTCCAGAAGACGAAGTGCCTGTATCATCAAACATTCCTCTCAGCGACGAGGACATGCATGATACTACTAAACAAGAGAGTGAGGGTTCAGTAGGTGATGATTATACTCACAGTGATGATATTCCTCAGCAGGGGGAGCCTTCATCTGAAGACGAAGCTGAAGGTATTCATGTTCGACGTTCTATGCGAGGCATAGTTCCACAGAGAAAGTATTCCACGTCCGAATGGATACTTGTTAGTGAGATGGAGCCTGCGAGCATTGCAGGAACGAGAGAAATAAAGAAAAAGGTGGAGGGAGAGATTTGTAGGTATCTTCCACCTTCTTTCTTGGAGGTTGCCAAGAGACACCTTAACATGGAGGCACCTTCATGGAAGGAGCTCTCCAACAAATAGGCATGGAAGAAGATATGTAGATAATTAGGAAGCTTGGATGCAACTTGCTCTTGTCTCCAAAGTAGCCTATAAATAGAGTGCTCCATGTTGTTTATGAACATCAGTTTAGAAAGTGAGAAAAGTGTGTGAAGAGTGAAAACACTTAGAGTAGAAGTGTATTGGTGAGGATTGGTTTTTTGTAATAGTTGAGTGTGAGAGTTTGCTCCTCCTATTGTAATTCTGTTCTTGATATTGAATAGAAGAATTTTCCAAACCCAACAATGAATAAGAAAACAAAAATAGATCTTGCCCATAAAACTGGTTGCTCACTTGCTTGTTGAAGCTAATGTAGCACTGCTACACCCAATATCTAAGATAAAATTGAGAGGCTAAGCCGGAAATGATCGCAAAGAATCCTAAAAACGGGTTGGTAGATGGAAACAAAAATTAAAAACTCAGTCGAAATCCAGACATAAAGAGCACAACAATAACAAAAACAGTTCACCAACAATGGAAGGCAAACAGAATCTAGCTAAGGATCCAAAATAAAATAAAAGAAGTCATGGAAAAGCTGTATACATATATAGATGCAGATCAACGTCAATAATTGCATTTGTCATGGATGACCGGACTCGGTAAGAAAAGCAGAAAAGAAAAGAAAAGAAAGGAGAATAAGAAATTACCCGCTCAACCCACTGACGAGAATCATCGGTCCATTCGAAAGCGGGGTCATTGAGGAGCTCCGATTTCAGGGTGGAGTAGACCTCCAGGAATTTGGCCTTGTGATCGCTCATTGCTCTATAGGGAGAAAGAAAAACGAGAGAGAAATGGTGATTCTTGCGGGAGAGAGATGACTGGAAAGCTGATTGTACATTTGTACATGTATGCATATTCTTACAACAAAAGTTCCCAAAACGACGACGTTACAACTGATGTCGTTATTCAATGGCACGTGAAAAAAGTCGCACCGAGGCGGCAGCAGCCTGCGTTCTCCTTTTTTGACTCCTAAAAAGTAAAAAGGAAAAACTAAGACAGAGGGAGTGATGCATTAAAAAAAGTGGAATTATTGAGTTCACCTTAAATCATTATTTTTCATTCATGTCAAAATAATTGTATGCTTACTCCCTATAATAATAAGTAATTTATGTTTCATATTATTTCTTTTATTTCTGCATAACTTTGAATCACAAAATTTTCATCTTCTTAACCTACATACAAAGTCAAAAAGAATAATTCCAAATATATGATCAAAATAAAATAATGGACAAAACTGACCGGATTGTGGAGGGCCGGAGGCGGGCTGCGGTGGGGGCAGAGGCGGCCTGGGGCTTGGTGGCGGAGCCGCGGAGGTCAACGCTCAGTCAGTCAGTCCTTCACGGCCTCAGACTTCAGTGCTTCTCCGGAGAATATGAGTCGCCCAGTCGGGGAATGCTCAGGGGTTCTTTGGACGCTTATTAAGTTGGGCGCAAGTAAGAAGGAAAGTTTTGGGCTGGGCTATAATACTAGTTTGTTTTTGGGTCCTTCAAAATTCTAGGCTGGGCTGGTCAGCCATGCCCTGGGCCAGCCCTGTATCTTTTAGTGATTACCGTTGTATTTATAAGTAACATTATAATCACATTTTTAGTAGATTTTTATGATCATATTTTAGGGAAAATATCCAATAGTCAAAAGAGGTGTTAATAATGACACAAAGCCAGCAAAGTATAATACTCCCTTAATTCCGAAAAGGTTCGTCAAATTAAGTACTTTAATTCTCCTCCTTGAATAAAAAAACTTATTTAAAAAAAAGTTCGCCGAATTAACTTTTCTTGTACAATAGCAATCAATTTGACCAAATATATTGTTTTTTTTAATACAAAGTCATTTCGAATATGAAACTTATTTAAACTATTTTCATAAAAGTATAAAATTTAAAAATTATGTACAAATAATAATTAAAAGGGAAAAGTGTCAATTTGGTCCTCGTACTATCATAAAAAAGTCAATTAGGTCATCGAACTTAAAAAAAACAATCAAATCCCGAACTTTGTAAAAACGTTCAATTGAGTCCATTTACAGGTTACTTGTCATGTCAGCAGGTCTTCTGTTGACGTAGCGCGCACGTCGCGGTCCATGTGTGTGCCACATCACCATCAAATGGATGATTGGATTTCCACGTGTGTGCCACATCAACAAAGTCGCTACTGATTGCATTGCTACGTGTGCGCCACGTCAGCGGGTGACTTGTTGACATGACAAATAACTTGCAAATGGATTAAATTGAACGTTTTTACAATGTGCAGGGATTCAACTGATTTTTTTTAAAAGTACGAGGACCAAATTAACTTTTTCGTGATAGTACGAGGACCAAATTGACAGTTTTCCCTAATTAAAATCATTGTCTAAAATTTGTTATCATTGATTATGAAAATTTAATATAGTGAACCTTTTCAAGACGCAACTAGTCAGAATGAATTAATGTGATTGACCAACAATATAAATACACGTAGTACCAATTAGGGTATGAGACAAAATTAATGTGATAGACTAAAAAGGAAACATGAGGCACACATAGTTGGATGGAAGAAGTAATATGACAGATACTTGCATTTGTTGTGAATCAAAATATTATTCACTCCGTATTCTTTTGTTTGTTACTTTGTTATATTTTCCTCTTTGGAAAGTACTTTTTTACTACACTTTCTCTTTTAAGTGTCTTTTCTCATGTAAAATACTCAATTAACCTTAATTTTGAAAAGTTGAACCACTACTAAGCCGCCAACAATAATCTCAACTATTGATTATTTCTGTGCAATCTCAACTATATGGACAGTCCACCAATAATGATTTATGATCGAGTATAATGTGCTATACCATGTCAATTTTATATAGCAACTAAGCGTATTTATTAATATTCTGACATATGCTCGTTCTGCTTTTATTAATCACATCCATCAACTCAATTTTGTTTATAAAAAGATTTAAAAATTATTTAAATTTTGAATTTTGAATTCTATAAATGAAAGTTTAACTACATCTAAAAAGGTATTGGGTTTTAAAAAATAAAAAATGTTACATTTTATTTTTTATTTCAGAAAACAATATTTGTAATTGCTTATAAATAATCGTTTTTGGATTCTCTTACAAAATCATTAAAAAAAAATTGTTTATTTTTACCTAATTTAAAATGATTTAATATTTTAGGATGATTAGCTTTTAAATTTTTAATATTTAAATAAAAGTATTAGTATTTTTATCGTTTTCATTTTCTTAGTTTTAAAAATCAAGGTTTTCATTTTTTTTTACTTGAATTTGTATTTAATTTGAATTTCATTTTTCCTTTAAGGTTTTTATATTGACCTTTTTACTCTCTTTATTTATATACTCCGTAATTTATATTCCTTATATATTCATAATATCTTACATGTTATGAGATTTAATTTTGAAATATCTATAATTTGTATCATATTCTATAATTATACATTTTATATTCTTTAATTCCACAAACTTCCTAAAAAGATTATTACTTAAAAATAATTGGTATAATATATTTACCCTTTTTATATATTTATGGAAATTTTAATTTATATTTTGGGTTGAAAAAAGCCGACATGTGATAATTCGGATTATTATAATCTAATATTGTTTTAATTGACTGAACAGGTAGCCCATCACTTCGAACCATTATTGGCGGAAGGTATTTACAATTAGGATTATTCTGAAATAATCGATAGTTGGGATTGTTATGACCGGACCGCCAATAATTGGGATTCTTATGATCAATTTTTCCTTAGGTTTTCGTCTTTTCATATTCTTATTCATAGTTGTGTCAAATCTTATTGTACCAAAGGGTTAAAACCCCTGGTGTTTAAATTTTACCGGTGGGCGTAGCTCAACTGGTAGCGAGGGAGTGCCACAAGGGTTAGGTCTCGGGTTCGAATCCCGGCAACTGCGATGAGGGGTTACTATGCTGAAAAATGCATAGGGCTTCTACAAGTACCGGGGACAGAGTCCCACTCTCTATCTGTCAGATTGTGATTATAGTCCAATTTAAACCCTCCCATCGTGCCGTCCGGTCGATGTTGGGGGGCCCTCAGGGATGGAGTGTCATCCTTTTTTTTAAGAATATAATAGGGAGGGGGATAAAATGCTTATTGTACACCTCTTTTGCACACATATTCAAGATTCTAAAATTCACATTATTTTTACCCATTCATTTCCCTATATTCATATTATTATCTCTTGTTCTTTCTTTTTTCTTTCATCTTCATCTTTTCATCTTTATTTATCTCTCATCTTCCTTATTCAGCATCTCTCGTCTTCACAATTTTCTTTGAGTCACAAGAAATGACGTCAGAAATATTTTTTGTGCCACCAGTAAATATTATATGTGTCTCACTAATTTTTTATATTATTACACGCAAGTTACACCATTCATGCTTCTAAGACAAAAAAAAAACAATTACTGTACACGCGTGTACTGTTCACACGTGATTTTTTTTAAAATTGTTTAAAACTGCATCATTTGAGTCATGAAGCATGGTACTCACCGTGGGATGTTCCCACGGTATAAGAACTGCTCACATAGGGTGTTCAAAATTGTGTACACTTATTGTTGTCTCTTAATTATCTGATTTCCTTTTTCAGGATATACCAAACGCTAGCTTTTACTTATTTTCCCGTAATACTTGATAGGTAATCCATATCTATGTATATATTATACAATTGGAGGTCACATTGACATGTGTCACTCCATTGTTCACTATTGACATGTGTCAATTTTATTATCCATGGTTTGCCACATGTCACCTCATTATTATTTATAAATTATTGCTATAATAATTAAATTATTTATATATACATGAAGAGTATTTAATTATTATAGCAATAATTTATAAATAATAATGAGGTGACATGTGGCAAACCATGGATAATAAAATTGACACATGTCAATAGTGAACAATGGAGTGACACATGTCAATGTGACCTCCAAGTGTATAATATATAGATTAATGCTTAAAAAATACTCTTCATACACATTTGGAAAATTAAACTTGCATGCATGTTTTTTATTTAAGGAAATGAATACTCCTAATATACATTTTGGAAACTTAAACTTTAGTTGATTATTGAGGCGTGGTGGTTATTATATAATTTATTTTGTTCAATAAGAAACTTTATAGGTCTATAACTTTTATATGTGCAATCCATCTTTTTTAAAACATACATCGAAATCATTAATTTTTGTGATCCTTCATATGACACCAATATCGTATATATAAAGTTTTTAACAAAAGTTATTAGTTTCAAGCACTAGAATTCTTACACATAAAGAATATGGGACACAATTTTTAATTCAATGTGCATCAATAAATAACCGAATTTTACATGACCTCATTTTTTAATTAAAACTGAGAAAAGTTAAAACAAAATGGTGAATATTTTTTATTTTTAACATCAAAATGTGTATTTTTTTAATTTCATAATTATTTAGAAATAGAATAAAAAATACATTAGTCATAATCATTTAATTAATGTTTTATTAAACTAATTAATATCTAAAAAATTCGTATAATCAAGATTATTAATGGTGATAGAATGCGGAGAAAAACAATCTTGACGAAATCTATACTTTGTTTTTATATCGATGGACTCCATATTTAAGTGAATCATAGAAGAGAGTTTGCAAGTTTGTGTTTTCTAATTCAAAAATATTACATTCAGCTTCCACAATCATATTTTGTTTCCCATTGATAGCTTCTATTTTGCATTTATCACACTTATCAGCCAAATTTTTATCAAATTTACTTTTGACTTAAAAGTAAATGACATCATCAGCTTAAATATAAACCTACTTTTTAATTATACTTTTTGAAAAGATATATATTTTCAAAAAGATATACGAGTA